TTATTAAGGGGTACATGTAGCTTGTAAACAGAGCATTGTTAAAACTAACGCCTTGAGTAAACCTCCCTCTATTTATCCCCCTTCCCCTTATTGCCTGGCATCATGATTTCTCTTCACCTGTTGTTGACCTCTCTCCTTCCTCCCCGAGCTTCTTCCTGGTTCTTTGGGCCCCAGCTGCCTGGCCTGCAATCAAGCCAGTCTAAATTGCCCATATATGGTTAAGCTACTTCCCAACTCCCCTTACAACCATTAACAGCCACCACACACACCCCAAGGTACAAGTGGCAGAAACAAATCAATCCAACTCCCAACGAATGCAATACAATGGAAAACAACAACAGTTGGGTGATGCAGGTTCTGACACCTACGTATGGAGACAGCCAAATATAACATGTGGATTTACACCTCAGGAGGAAGATTGTCCTATCAGTATATTATGAACATTGGGCCTTACAATAAGACAGATGTGTTCTTGCTTCTAGACCATCAGCCAGTCTGGACACTCCATTCCATGTTCCCTCCTCCGTTCGCTGTATGGCCACCAAACATGTTCACCCTTTACTTAGCCTTTTCCCTTCCTCAGTTCAAGATTTTCTCTCCAAGAAGAATGGAAGCTGACTTGTCCATCAAAGTGGCTTAACTTTGCCACTGGTAAACCCTGATCTTTCCGGTGTGTCAGGAGGGCACATAAAAAGCAAGTGACATGTTTGGAGAGTTGGCAAAGTGAGCTCCTCCTGGAAAGGTTGTCCTTATCTGGAGCAGGATTCAATTGTATTAGGGTTGTGGCTTGTCTGAAATCTTGTGCCTTAGTCAGCAAAGTCAGTAGAAGTAGGATGGCATCCTAGAGAGATGCTAGCCAAAAAGGGGGGAAATGGCATCTCTAGAAAGTGGCATTTCTTAATTCTGCCATTCTTCCCCTATTTATAAAACAATAAAAGTCTCACCCCTTTATTGTTGTTGTTGTTGTTATTGTTATGCTACCAACTCCCAACAACTCAGGGCAACATATAATAAATATAAATGTTAACCATTCCCTGCTTGTCACAAGAGTGAACCTGCCCCAAATGTACAGAATTTCAAAATAAGGGCATTTCTGAGCCCCTATTCAGACTGCTGAGAGTTGAGTATATTTGTGTTTGCAGGACCAGCCCAGATGTATAAGCTCCCATCAGTTCAAGAGAGGACAAAGGTTGTCCTTGTGGCTGGGTACATTAAAGAAAGTGACAGCTGAGAAAGTGAATGAAGTCCAAAGCAATTTTGGACTTGCTTCCCTGAATGATCTCTGATAGGAAGAGAATACAATAAGGTAATAAAACTCACTGAGGTGAGTCTGGCTATTTATGTCAATGTTAGAAGACCCCTCACAACATTCAGCCCCAGCTCACATTCTCCAGTTGCTACATTTTGTATTGTCTGTAATAGCACCAGAAGCAGTAGAAAACCATAGGATCTGCAAAGCATTTTGAGGACACCCCCCACCCCCATCCCTGAGCAGTTCCACACTTTGAGTTGCAAATCTATTTGGATGTGCTGGTTCTATCAAGCCTGAAACCTTATGTGTATAAAGCTCCTTCAAACCTTACATACATAGGGTTTCCTTATGAAACCTTATGTGTGTAACTCCTTCAAAGCTTTACACACTCATAGGAAGAAGACCTTGTCTGCTTTGGTGTCTCTTTCTTCAATCTAAGAACCTGGACAGAAATAAAAATTTCCCCATCTGACTCTCTTAAATATGTCTTCCCAGCTTGATTCCAGAAGAAAGCTGTGAATGGTGGATTCTTCAACATTGACCGTTTCCATACCAGCATCAGATTTACTCCACAATGTTCCCAGAACAATCTGAAGCTTATGTATTCATATGATCCTGATGACCAAAAAGCATGAAGGACAGTGGGTGGTAACAATATACTTTCTTTTCATGTAGAATGGGGGTAGGACAATGAAGCATTTTTCTCTGGGGCCAGTGGCAACTCGGTATGCCTTCTTGGGATTCTCCTGATAGTCAGAAGAAAGATGTAATGATCTCCTGCATGTTTTCAGTGTTTTGAGGCCAACTGAACTACAGATACAGTAAGTGTGTTTTATTGTATAGCTGCTAACTATGCATTTCTCACTTACGTGTTTTTTCTGTTTAGTTTTGCTTTTGCATAACTCAGCACCCCATGTTTTTTATATGGTTTATGTCTGATTCTTTTTATACCTCACAGGAGATGAAGCATATCTATCCTGTCTATTATTTTCTTGAAATGCCTATAGTCCTTACAGTTTTTTTAAAAAACCTTAATTAAAATGTAGAGCTATTTTTAAAATACTCAGTGATATATTTACCATGTTTAGTATCCACCTGAGAAAGGATGGAGTTAATCTAATTTTCCTAGCAAAGGAATTTAAAAACTGGGTTACTGTCACAGAAAAATCCCATTCCCAAAATTAGCTCATTGGTGGTTCCTCCAAAAGGGTGTTTGAGGTTCAGGAACTATGGACTTCATAGGAAGGAATGGCCTTTAGGATGATTTGTATCCAAAGTATTTAGACTCTAAAATAATAATAATAATAAAAAAAGAATACATGTGTATAAATCTGACAAGGCATGACCAATTCAGTTCAAGGAATTGAATCAATTTTACTTGAGTTTACTATTTGATTTAAACATCAATTCAGTTTGATCCAATAAAGGGGTGTGTATGCATGTCAAAAAGTCTATAAAATCTCTGGATTGATAGCAATGCTCCCATGCACTGAATCAATGCAAAGTTTAGATTTGAAAGGTCACTTGATCAACCAGCTTGGCTGGTTGAAGGGTGTATGATAGTGTTTTTCTTCTACTTGCCTGGTGAGAGCAGGGATTGTGGTGATGGTTGTGGTGATACATAGGGAGAATGGAAGGGGTCCCCTTTTGGAAATGTGCCCAGCTGGTTTTTGGGTGTGGCAACATCCAAGACTTTGGAGTAAGGGTTTGTGTGATCATTGTCATCTAGGAGACTCTGGAGGCTTCTAGGCGTGCTACTCTGCAAGTAACTGAATTGTAAAGTTAGGTGGTAGGGTATCAATCAGATGGGATTAGTATACCCACTTCCCTGCTACATAGTGGCTTCCCTGCAGGAGTTGCTTGACTCTGTGGCTATAAGCTGGCAATAGAGTTTCCTAGGTTTATAGGGCTGGGATACTTCAACATGGCTTTGCTTAGCCCAGATACCAAAGGTATCAGATCCTGGAAATTGAAGGCCCAACACAAAGTGAAGGTTACATGTTAGATCTGATTTTTATCTCAGGGCAGTGGAATAATAACAACAACAGTAGTGGTCCCAGTGGTTATTGGCACACTGGGTGCCATACCAAAAAAACTTGGACAGCACTTAGACAATCCACACATTGACAACATTTCCACCTGTCAGCTGTAAAAGGCCACCCTGCTTGGATCCGCACATGTATTACTGTACATGTGCCATCCTAGGTTCTTGGGAAGAACTTGATGTGAGAAATAAAGGCCAACACCAGCTAAAGAACTGGCAGGTGTTAATTCATGTTGTTGTGTATACAACAACAATAATAAACAACTGACTATGTTGCCACTGATTTGGAATCGGAGGATATTGTCATCTCTTCCTTGTTATGGAAAGAACACTCCTTGGAATTTTCTCTGGCTGCCCCCCACTGCAGGAAAGTGGGACCTGTTGGATTGGTCTGCCCTAGGCACTTGATGGACCTGGTTGGGTTCCAGAGGGCACTTGGGACTGTTTCTGAAGTTTTAGCACATGGTTAGACTGAGGCCTTGGTCAGGGCTTGGAAAGAGCAGGTGGTGGGGGCCTTGGATTGGATTGTACATATGCAGAATTTCTGTGCACATCAATCCCAGAGGGCCTCCTGGTTTTTGGAGCAGCTCCAGTAAATGAAGCAATGTAAGAGATGCCTACAGAGCTGCTGGACATGTATGAACCTTATGGCGATAAGGGCAGGGGTGAAATGTGCTTAGTTCTCTATCCTTATTGCATCCACAGATTGCTGCCTGGTGACCCTGTTTCAGATTACTTGATCCCTTCTGGGTAAAAAGAGGTCAGGGGATCCCATGTAGGGCCATTATGTGGATTATGCTATGCATCTGATGGATAAAGTTACTCAGATCTACTTGGAGATGTACTGCAGCTATGCTGGCCCTGTAGAGTGAATGAGGTCCTCTTTTATCCTGCTGTCTGGCAGAGTTTGATCCAATTACTCCTGAGGGGGTGGAAAGGGTCCTTGGGATGTTGAGTTCTGATACCTGTGTATTAGATGCATGCCCCCTCCCCGCCAGTTGGTCCTGGCCTTCTGAGTGGTGACATGTGGCTGGGCTCAAGCGGTGATAAATGCCTCTTTGCAGGAAATCCCTGCTTTGAAGGAAACAGGGGTTTGCCTCCCACATGAAGAGGCCATTGCTGGACCTGGCTGTACTTGACAACTTTCATCCAGTCTCCAACCTTCCCTGAGGAAGAAAAGTTGATGAGAAAATGTGGCAGGCATGCAGCTCCAAAAGGCTCTGGAGGAAGCAGATTATCTGGACCCCTTACAGCTGGGTTTCAGACCAGTATATAGCTCTGAGACAGCATTGATTACACTTGTTAATTACCTCTGGCAGGCTCAGGCATACTACATCCATCCTGGCCATCCTTTGTCTCTCAGCAACTTTTGGTAGCATCATCATGGTATCCTTCTGGACCAGTTGAGGGGTTGGGAGTGGATGGCACTGTTCTTCAGCAGTTTTCCTCTTTCCTCTGAGGCCAGTTCCAGTCAGTGTCAGCAGGGGAGAGAGATCCAGCCCTAGGCCCGCAGTTTGCAGGGTGACACAGGGTTCAACTCTTTTTCTAGCTGCTATTTAACATCTGCATGAAACTGCTGGGTGAAGTCACCCATTGTCACAGGGTTAATATCATCAGTGTGCTGATGATACTCATCTGAACATCTTTGTCCCAGGCTGTCCAAGTGATGCTGCCAGGGTGCTATCTCAGTGCCTGGATACTGTGGATCTGATAAGAAAGAACCAGCTTTGGCTCAACCCTGATAAGACTGAGCAGCTGTAGAGTTAATCCCCAACCCCCCCCCCCCCGATCCAGTGACTTTCCCTTGTTAATCCTGAAAGGATTGCACTCCCCAAGTCAGGGCCGGTGCACATTCTGGAGGTTCTCTTGAGTTCGCAGCTCCCGCTCGAGGGGTAGGTGGCAGTGGTGGGCCACAAGAGCTTTTGTACAAATGCACCTGGTACACCAGTTGTGCCCTTCCTGGACTGGGAGGCACTGCTCACTCATACCTTAGTCACCTCCCAGATTGGACGATTGCATTGAATTCTACATGGGGCTGCCTTTGAAGAGCATCCCGAAGCTTCAGCTGGTCCAGAATGCAGTGGCATGTGCAGTGTTGGGTGCACCTTGGTACGCCCAAGTGACACCTCTGCTCTGTGAGCTTCAGGGTGTAATTCAAAGTGCTGGTTATCACCTTTAAAGCTCTACATGGCAAGGGAGCAGGTTACTTGCAGGACTGTCTCTCTCCAATTATCTCTGTCTGCCCTACCACATCTGGCAGAGTGGGCATGTTCTGGCTGCCATTGATAAACCAGTATCATCTCCCGGACCCCTGGAAGCCTTCTCTATTATGGCGCTTGCCCTATGGAACAGCCTGTCCCATTAAATACAGACGGCCCCGATGCTATTGGCCTTTTGCAAGCCATGAAGACCTGGCTCTTCCCCCAGCCACAAGGGTTTGGATCTTAGCATGGGAGCTCAGGTATGCCAGTTTTGTATTTTTATTGAGCCCCAATGCAATTTTGGAGAGATGCCAGCCAATAAGGGGAAAAAAATGGCACCCATTTCAATTTAAATAAGAATTATTTATGCCAACAATCCATGTAGCCAGATCTCTCCATTCCTGGAAAGACCAGCAACATATCGGTGTCAATGGCCTTCTTGATTACAGTAGCCCTCTGGGCTTTCAGAACCAATGCCAGCTCTCTATTCACACCTAACACAAACATATTCTACTAATCCATTGCTTGCTACAAAGGCCGAGAAAGATGTTGTATAATAGGATTGTTCAGTGCTTCAGATTCATTTCCCCAAAGGTGCTTTGGAACACATGGGGTTCTGAAAGGATCACCTCTCTGCAACTCTTTAAAACTGCTGAGTGATACTTGGGATGCAGCTACATTAAACAGTTGCAGACTGGTGCAACATTCATATCCACCATGCTCCAAAGTACATTTGCCACATGATTACTGAACTCCAGCACAGCCTTGATGTATGATGTCTGTTTGGGCAGATAGTACAGGAGAGAAGCAAGTAGCTGGTAAATCTTATGGATAAATAACATTGTTCTGTTTTTCTCCCTTTCTAATGAACGGTTCTGCATTTTTTTTTAAACTGTCTTTTGGTTTTGTATTTGAACTAGGTTTATTTTTACTTGCAAGCCACTTGGATATGTGGGAAGCAACTATGTTAAATAAATACACAAATGAAAGAATGTTTAGCCATGTAATCTCAATGATTTCACCAAAATGAAATGCCAACCCACATGGTACTTCTTATGTGTTGGACTTCAATTCCCAAGCTGGCCAGGACTTATGGAAATTAAAATCCAATTTATCTAGAGAGCATCTGATATGATTGTTACAGGTAATTTGTACTAACATAAATGTGTAGTCCTTAAATGCACTCAGTGATTCAGATTCCTAAACTTAGGTAGAACATGGGGAAGTGGGGTGGGAAATTACCCTTGATTCATGTAAAATATTGGCATGACTTCCAGTATAATTAGAAAGTGAAGAGAATGTTAATTTGCACAACAGAATTATAAAATATGCACAGTTTTAATAGGGTGTTATTCCAATTTTTCATTGCACTAGCAACAGTGTTTTTTTTTCCAGTATGACATTAAAGTAAGTCAGAAAAATACAGTATTGAACCTCAGTTTTCCACCCACAGCATACACAAATGATCACTTGAACATCAGTTAATTTAAGTACTTAATTTAATTAACATAAGGTCTGGGAAATAATTTTGAGCTGAAATCACTGAAGCAATAATTCCATGTATCTCGTGGTCCCT